ATTTATTTCTGCTCTATTTTTTCCTTCCTTGTGAATATCTTTGGTTATTTTATTCTTTTTTTTCTAGGTTCTTGAGGTGGGGGCTTAGGTTCTTAACTTAAAACATGCCTTTATCCTAAGGACCTATCTTCTTTAACCTGTTTATATGGTGAATTACATTGATCTTTGAATATTGACTTGCTTTACATCCCTGAAATAATAGTTAAAGTTAGTATGATAAATTTGGCTCTCAGTACTGCTTTAGTTATTTCTCACAAATTTTTATGTGCTGTATTTTTATTTTCAATTCAGGAAAATATAATTTTTTCTACTGTGATTTCTTCTTTGGCCCATGGATCATTTAGAAGTGAATTGTTTAGTTTCCATATATTTGAAAATTTTCCTGTTATCCTTCTCTTACTGATTTCTGGTTTCATTCCATTGTTGTTTGAAAACACTCTGTATGGTTTTTATTATTTTAAAATTGCTGAGATTTGTTTCACGGCCCAGGATTTGTTCTATCTTGTTATATGTACTGACATCACTTGGAGAGAATGTTCATTCTGCTGTTGATGGGTGGAGCCTTCTATAAATGTTGAGTAGATCTTGTTGGTTGATGGTGTTGCTTAGTTTTTCTATATCCTTGCTGTTTTTCTCTCAAGTTGTCTTGTCAATCACTGAGAGTAGTATTGAAGTCAACAGCTATAACTGTGGATTAGTTTGTTTCTCTTTTTAGTTCTATTAGTAGTTGCTTCATATCTTCTTCAGTTCTGTTTTTCTGGTGCATACACATTTAGGATTGTTATCTCTTCTGGGTAGATTGGCCCTTTAATTATTATGCAATTTCCTTCACTTTTCTGGTAGTTTTCCATGATCTAAAGTAGATTTTACCTGACATTAATGTAGCCACACCTGTTTTCCTTTAATTAATCTTTGCACGATGCATTTTTCCATCCCTTTAATTCCAATATACCTATATCTTAATATTCAAAGTGAATTTCTAGTAGACAGCATATATTGGCTTACGTTTTTTAATCCACTCAGTTAATCTCTGTCATTTAATTTATATATTTAAACAATTTCCATTAAAAATATTTATTGATATGTTAGGGTTTAATTCTTCCATTTTGATTTTATTTTGTGTTCATTTTCTCTCTTCTTTATTTTTCTGTTTTTATTCCTGTCCACTTGTCACTTACTTAGCTATTTTTTAAATTCCTTTTTGATATATTTACATTGTTTTGAGTGTGTCTCTTTCTATAGAATTTTTAGTGGCTGCTCTAGGTATTACAATAAATATACATAAATTATTCCATTCTGCTGGTATCAATAGTCTGCCATTTTGAATTAAGTTTGGAAAGCTCACCTACTTTTACCCCCTAAGTCTTCCCCATTTATAATTGTCTTAAATATTATTTCTGCATAGATTTAGACCTGTATGAGATGGTTTCATAATTTTTTTCAGCACCAAACACAATCTAAAAAACTTAAGAGAAGGAAAATTAATTTATCCGTATTTTTAATCTTTCCATTGTTCTTCTTTCCTTTTTGATATTCCAAGATTTTTTCTATTGTTTTCTTTCTATTTAGAAAATTTTCTTTATCCATTCTTTTAGGACATGTCTACTGCTGATACATTCTCTTAGTTTTCCCTCCCATTAGAATGTCTCGATTTCCCTTCCATTCCTAAGCATATTCTTGTTATATAGAAAATTCTTCATTGACAGTCCTTTTCTTCCAGCACTTGAAATATGTTGTGCTATTTCTCTTTGACCTCCATGGTTTCTGATGGGAAATCTTGTCAATCAAATTGTTTTTTCCCTATAGGTAAGGTGTGTGTTTCTCTTTTGCTGCTTTCAAGATATTTTCTTTGTTTCAGTTTTCAGAAGTTCTACTGTGATTTGTTGTGACGTGGATGACTTTGGGTTTATCGAATTTGGAATTCTTTAATCTTCTTAAATCAATAGGTTTTTGTCTATTGCCAAATATGTAAAGTTTTTGGCAATTATTGATTGGAATACTTTTCCAGTCCTGCCCATTTTCTTCTTTCCTTATGAAACTCAAATGACAGAAATATTAGATCTGACAGGTCCCTGAGGCTATGTTTATTATTTTTTTCAGTCTAAATTTTCTCTATTCAGATTGGGTGTTTTGTCATTCTATCTTCAAGTTCACTAATTCTTCAAGTTCAATGGATGACATTATCTCATTGGGGACAAGTGTCTCGGTACAGAGAAGTGTCCATTGAAATCCAGGCTCCTTATGTGGTCTTCAATGACATCACAAGCAAGGGAATAGGGATTGTTACCTCCCCATTTGGATGAAAATTCCGACTTCTTACTCAGCCTTCTTTGACATCAACGTGGTTGAAGGGTTGTTCACATCCAAGCCCCCTACTTGGCCTTTGCTGGCATGAATGAGGTATCAAAATAGTTTCTTCTGTGATGTTTGGATGGAATAGAGTAGTCATTGTGTAAGGGTTTTTTTCTTGCTGGACTGTCCCTTTTCTGGTCCTTTGGTGAGAGAAAAGCAGTCTCTCTGGGGCCTTTTTTGACTATGCCCACTGACATTTCCAAGCCTTAGGCTTTTTCATCTCCAAGTCTGGGATATGAAGTAAAAAGAAAACTCGAAGAACTCACTACCCTGTTGTTGCGGGGTTCTGAGGTGCCTAACTGGTCTTCCTTCTTCTCTCCAACTTTCAGAGTCTTCTTATATTTGTTTTATGTATAATATCCATGGTTTTTCATTGTACCTAGTGAGAGGGATAGTCAAAAGTATTTCTACTCCTTCTTCCCATAAGCTGAAGTTGAGACTATATCAGATTTTTTTTTTTTTAGAGGAAGATTAGCCCTGAGCTAACTACTGCCAATCCTCCTCTTTTTGCTGAGGAAGACTGACCCTGAGCTAACATCCACGCCCTTCTTCCTCTACTTTATACGTGGGATCCTACCACAGTATGGCTTTTGCCAAGTGGTGCCATGTCTGCACCTGGGATCTGAACCAGTGAATCCCAGGCTGCCGAGATGCAGAATGTGAGAACTTAGCTGCTGTGCCACCGGGCCAGACCCAGATTTTTTTTTTTTTCTGAGGAAGATTTGCCCTGAGCTAATATCTGTTGCCAATCTTCCTCTATGTGTGAGTTGCCACCACAGCATGTCCGTTGACAAGTACTGTGGTCCATGCCCAGGAACTGAACCTGGGCTGCTGAAGTGGAGCATGCCAAAGTTAACCACTAGGCCACCAGGCCGGCACCTCAGCTTTTTTAAAATTTGGATTTTGATATGTATCGGTAAAGAATATTTCTTGAAAAGAGGTACATATCTATGAAAGAGGCTAATTATAATCAAGGAAAAGAGAGTAGTTCAATTTGATTGAATATAAGAAAAATGAAAGGCACTAACTATACAATAGAAAAGGTTTCTAAGAATGTTTTTGCACTTTTTATGGGTTGTAAAAGAACTAGATGAAGAAAGGCATTGAAGTAGGGAAAGAAATATACTATGATCATTAAGAATAAGACAGTAGAGTTAGATCTATTCTTAAAAAAATAGAAAAATTTTAAATAATTGGGCTATAACTTTCAAATTTTCCAGTCTCTCCAGAAGTTATTGTAACCCCAGTACAATAGCTGTAGCTGTGCAATATTGAAGGACTTCTTTAATCTTTCCAATTTTCACTTTCTCACAAGATGTTTTTAAAGATTATTGGGGATAATGTAACCTGCTGAATATATGTTTGAACATGGGAAATACTGAGAATTTAAACAGAAGTTTTAGGGAGAGTAGACAGGGACCACATCATTTCTACAGAATTTAGAAATTCAAGAGCCTGGAAGGAGGTTCTAGATGAACAGGAGGTATAAGCAGGGTAGAAATTTAGGGAGACAGATTTCATGTGAAACCAAACAAGAGAAAGAGCCATGTTGAAGCGACTAAGCTTAAGATAATGAATGGAAGATATCTGGTGGAAAAAAAATCCTTAAGAAAACATGGGTTAGGGAACAGCCTTGTGGCTGAGTGGTTAAGTTTGCACACTCCGCTTCGGTGGCCCAGATTTTCACTGGTTTGGATGCTGAGGGTGGACATGGCACCGCTCATCACCATGCTGAGGTGGTGTCCCACATAGCAGAGCCAGAAGGACGTACTACTAGAATATACAACTATGTACTGCGGGTTGTGGGGAGAAGAAGAAGAAGAAAAGAAGATTGGCAACAGATGTTAGCTCAGGTGCCGATCTTTAAAAAAAAAAAGAAAAAGAAAGAAAACAGGTTAATACATTGCCCAAACTGAACATAACTCCAAGTCTAGAATTTTTAATAATTCTAATTGAAAGATGCTCTCTCTTTTAGACATTTTTATACTAGAAAAAGATATCTTTTCTGACTCATATATCTGTAGCTTTAAAAGCCTAATCAAGATCTGCAGATAAGAAATGGATACGTTGTCTGATGTAGCTTCTATTGTTTTCTGTATTCCCAACAATAACTTTCAATTTGGTGTGGTCAAGAAAAAAAAAGGTTTAAATATGCATAGTTTAGTGTTTAATCCTCTGTTCTCTGATAATAGATACTTAACACTGCATTCTTTACAACTGCCTTCTCAAAACAGAATCAGGACTATCTCTACTTCAACTCAATAAATTTTCTTGGGCTAAACTATTTTTCAGGAGTTATAAAAGCCGAATCTGTACCCTAAATTAAAACATACCTTCTTTTCAGAGAGAATAGTAGCCTGTTAATGTATAATTTTGTTTGAGTGAGTTGAAGTTACACTAACTTTTCGAGAGATTAGTAAATTTGAAAGTTACAGGCCAAACTAGGAGACCCAAGATTTTAAGGAAAAAATTTTGTGTGCCAAGTTTAAAATAAAGGCATCAGGATAAAAATCACTTTATTTGTATGATATTGGGCAAATTCTCAACTATCTTTACCTACATTTCTTTAATTCTGCTTAGAGTGCCTTAGATTATTGTGTTTTGTTTTGTGTTTTCTTAAAAAAGTGCATAGCATTGTACCCAGCCTTAGGTATCTACCAACTGCTACCTCAATTCTCATATTTGTGTTGTGTTGACAAAACCAAGTCAGAAGAAAAGAGCTGGAGGAGGACATGTGAGTGGCTGACAGGGATGGAGAAGTGTCATTTACTTGGTTGTAGCAGTTGTGGGGATTTCATAGACTGATTGGAAACGTGATGCTTAGATTCTTTTTAAAAGGTACGTCCACTTTTTTTCCTGTCTAATGTACTGTCTTCTTTTCACTAATCTTCAGTCGGCATATTGTGCCTCTCTGTTCCCCATCCTAAAGAGAGTTCTTTCCATGTCTCCCCTCCCCTCCTTTCCTGGGACACTGAGGACAGCATTAGTCAGGATTAAGCCACATTGCATCCATGATGCACTGTTTAAATGCATCCCATTGAACCAACAGAAAGGGTAAGATTATGATAGTCACTCATCTTAGCAGGTCACAAGCTATATTTTGGAACTTTCAATAACTCTGTGTTAAAATTCTAAAAAAGCATATTCTTTTAAATTTTTGTCAGATAAGAATCAAAAGAAGAGAATTTATGTGTGGTAACTAGAAATTTTCCCCTAGATATTAAATCATCTTTAAGGAAAAACCTTTTCCTGTGGTAAACAACTATAATGGCTTAGGGTATATTCCTTCATTCCTTGTGCACACATGCTCAATAGTCTGAATCTGCACAAGTAGCTTGCTTTCTATTTTGCCTTAACTGGTAGTAATCTATATAAACAAATATTTCAAAATTAAATTATATATGTATGTATATATATGTCCATATATACATACAGATATATAATTATTGCCATATTGTTTATATGTATACACTTGTCATTATTATCACATTCTTTGAATAAGCATTTATTGAGAACCTAACAAGTCCAGGATGGCTACAATATAGTTGTTAGGGATACAGAGCTAAAAGAGAGGTTCTGCTCTCTAATTCACAGGCAAGTAGGTCAGTGTAGGCATTTAAAAAAAATGCAAATGTGACTTTTACACAAAAACATAAAGAGCATATGTCAAAAATTTGTTTAAGTTACTAAAGAGGAACCAGCAGAATGGCAAAGCTGGTTTCAAAAAAGACTGTTAAGAGACCAAAGTATATATAGTCAATAAAGAAAAGAATGTTAAAATTAGATTGGAGAATTGTAAAATGATTACAACTTGATTATAAAATTTTATTTGGGGCTATCTTTTCTACCAAATAGAAATTATTAGCATTTCTACTACACAAAACTTATTTGCAGATTATCAGTATTCTTCGAGGCAGCATCTAACCTTACAGATATAGGGCCACAATGGATAGTAAACAAAAAGTCAAATGATGGGAGAAACCCCTTTGGCTCCAAATGACTTTAGGCAGGATTTTCGCACGATGCTCTAGGATAGCTTTGCAAAGACACACAGTGATCCTTTGCCATATTTCTTACTTTGGGTAATTTTTATAAACATTTATATGAAGAAGACAGGTAATTAGAGATTTCACACAATGTCTTGAGTGATTTGAGACTTAGGAATTACTTACCTGAGTTTTCCTTTACATATGTTTCAAGTAAAAGGATGAACTGAATAAAATAATTTCTAAACATTGACCTTCATCGTACAAACAATTGCTTAAAATTGACTTATTTGATTCTCTGAAGTTTGTTCTTTCGACTTCATCTATTGTGGGGAATACTTGGGATAATTTTCTTTACTGCCTTGGTGGCCCTCAGTAATTAAGTTTTATTGTCTCATAGTCCATCATTTTAATCTTCCTAAATGCTGCCTGGTAGATTCCAGATACAGTTGCTGGCTTCCAGTGTCCTCAAATCTTGATGTGGCTATACACCCCTTATCTAATCCATGTGAATGAGGAGATTTGCAGCTTCCATGGTTATTATCTCGGCCCACCCTGCACAGCCTAGAGTTAAGCAGGAATCTCTGAAGTAAAATCCTCTGCTGGGCCATCTGTTAATATAGCACAGTTTAAAATATTATTTGCATTTACTTTATCCCACAGGACACCACAGTAGAATTCCCTCTTGGGCAAATCTGTGAAATAGATATTAGCAATAGATTTTTAAAGGCAATTTTTTTTTGGATAGGAGATAATATAACACCCATTAACTCAATTGGGAATATACTTGAACTGCCTATTCTCACTCCAACTTGTCATCACCATGAGCAGATGTTAACACAAAAATAAAAATCACAATATGAAAATCACAAATCAACACTTGAATTAGTGGACAAAATATTCAAAATCCTTAAACTTTGAAAATAGAAAACCTATAATAGATTCAGAATGCTTCAAGATTTCCACATTCCTGCCACATGATCCATACAAGAACCACGCTATTTTATTCTTTATAAAGTACCTCTGATTCTACATAAAGTGGCGTACACTAAACCACTCATAAAGAGTATCTAATCATAGCTTAACTACATTTGAGGCAAAAACACATCTAATATCTGGTGGTCCTTTAAAAATAAGTCTGAAGAAATCAGATACGAGACCTTGTTGAGATTGGATTTTTGTTGCCGTCATCCTGATTGTTTTATAATCCAAATGTATATTTACCTGTAGAATATTTTTTAAATATAATGAAATGCCTGCATTCTTAAACTTTCTCTTACAAGAAAGTTAAAAGTTTCTCTATCTTCCAACTTTAAGGTAAGTCTCTGGCTGCAAATAATAACAATGACTATTGTCGCAAAAATATCAAATTATTATTTTTGTAAAAATTATAAATGTTTATTTTAACAAATTGAGCATATGAAAAAAACTTAAATAACTGCTCCACTTTTCGATACCGGGAAATAGATATCACTATTAAAATTAGGTTAGTATCTTCCCAGACACCTTTATTTGCTTATAGAGAAATTAGAGTCAGATAGATTAAAATACTTTCATAAAAACTTGACCATATTATATGTGGTAACTTGAATATGTGTTGTTAAATTATATTTAAATTAGTACAAGGAAAAGAAATTGAATTGAAAGTGAAGGAATGGCTAAAATTCACTTAGTATTTGAAGGCAAATAATACTACTTTTTAAAATATTTCCTTAACTATTAATAAAAAAAGATAATGACAAATGTGACTGGAATCACTGTATTTCTTTCAGATACTTGTCTGTAGTCAGATTTGCCTCTCTGCTGTGATAAAGTCATTAACTCTCACCCATTTCCTCTCACTCCTCAGCTATGAGTGTTTGTTAGTTCCAGTATCAGCTTTTTACTCTCAACATTTAAAATATTTGTTTTCTTAATAATAAGTTGAATTATTATCTAGAAATTGTTCCAAATTCAAATGGAATGATTATTACCTTCCTTCCATCCCTCCTGTCACTTTTTAATGCTGATATCAGTGAGCAGTTTTCTTTCCCTGCTAGGTTGTTCATAGAAATTCTTCCTTCCTTCCTTTTCTCCTTTCTTCTTTCCTTCCTTCTCTTCTTTTTTCAATTCATTCTTATTTATTTTTAAAGAGATTGACAGAGCTTGCATGGACCTATTTCCCCAACACACTTTTGAAGATTTATATATTTGCGTTTGTTCTCTCTGCTTATTTTTTAATGAATAATGGTCTACAGTATAAAATAGGGTGACTGCTTAAACCCATAAACCTTTTATTTTGATTCTATAGGAAAGATCAGTTTTTCAAGTAGATGCTTAACTGTGAGTTCATAGTATACAAGGAACTTCAGTTAACTTCATATGTGCTTCAGAGGAAGAGCAGATTCATATTAGTGTATATTATCCCTTGCATAGGGCTTACAAATAAAATATAACCCCTTAGTCAAATTTCAATATTAGACAAAAAAAATGAATATTTTCTTTTTACTCTAGATAGTCCAGTGAAACATACTTACATTAAAAAAAAAAAAAAAGAAAGAAAAGAAAACTTCCGTGTATCTGATATTCAGATTTCACCTGGGACCTGTATTTCTATTTGGCTAATTTGGGCTACTCGCTACTCTATCCTTGAGAAGACAAGAAAAATAAGAAATGGAATAAGGTGAGAAAATATGATGAAATCTAAATCAACTGAAATTGATAGTTTATCCTAAACTGTTATGAACTAAGTATTCATGTTCCCCTAAAAGTCATATCTTGAAATCTTAATCGCCATGTGATAGAATATGATGGTCTTAGAGGGTGGAGTCTTTGGGAGGTAATTAGGGTTTAGTGTCCAGATAAGAAGAGATACTTTCTTTCTCTCTCTCTCCCTGCCACGTGTGGAAATGTCACAAACCAAAATTTGGGGGAAAAAATGTAGCCAGACACAAAAGAATGTTGTTTAATTCCAAGTATATAATGTTCAAAAATAGTCAAAAAATTAGTATTAGAGTTCAAGATAGTTGTTATTTGGCCAGGAGGCATGGGAGGTGGCGTTCAGGAAGGGCATGAAGAGGGTTCATAGAGTACTAGAAATATTTTATATTTTGAACTGAATGGTTGTAGCATAAACAGTCATCTTGTGATGGTTTGTTAAGTAGTATGTATACTTTTCTCAATGAGCAATATATTGCAAATTTTTTAAGTCAAAAAAAGAAATTATGAGCTATTTCCAATGTGCATGACATTCTTTAAGCACTTAATACCATTTAAGAGACAATACAAATAAACTGGGTGATCAGAAATTATAATTTTTATTTTTTAATTCTTATATGCTGAGATAGTGAAAAATTTAGAATTCGATGTATATTAATTAAGAAGAAACAAGTTACTTTATTCAATTTTATCTTAATCATCAAATTTTGTCCACCTAAAAACTTTATCACTATATATTTTTTTTTTTTTTTTGGTAAGGAAGATTGGCCCTGAATTAACATCTATTGCCAATCTTCCTCTTTTTTTTTCCCTCCCCAAAGACCCCCCCCTGCCCCCAGTGCATAGTTGTATATCCTACTTGTAGATTTTTCTAGTTCGCCTATGTGGGACACCACCACAGCATGGCTTGATGAGCAGTGCTAGGTCCATGTCCAGGATCTGAACCAGAGAACCCTGGGCCACTGAAGCGGAGCACACGAAATTAACCACTTGGCCATGGGGCTGACCCTATCACTAATATTTCAGAAATGTTAATTTAAAAGTAAAGAGCAGAAAGTAGTTTTAAATAAGACAGATTGTTTTTACCTACTGTGTCCTTCCATATTATAAATATCTGAATCATATATTAAAAGTTACATGATCTCATATAACTTATGTTTGCTAGATAATTACCTAATTGAATTTATTAGTATTCTCTTGTCCAACCACTGTCAATGATTAGCCAAACCTGTTAACATAAAACACGTATTCCTGTACCCAACAGGAGGGGTAATGTGTAATATGGCCTAACACATCTTAGCAGCTCATCTGCTACTACTCAGTTCATCCTCTTCAGTAACCTGTCTCGTCAGTAACTATAAACATGTCTTGCTTTAGCATCATCACCGTCATTATCATCACTCTTCTAAGAGCTTAACATATAATTTATTCAATCCTACTAATAAGTCTAAGAAACGTACGGTTACTATTCTTATTGTACAGTTGAGAAAATTAAGATATAGAGTTTAAATAATTTACTCAAGGTCATACAGCTAGTAAGTAGCTGTTTTATAATAAGAAGCCATATGTAATAAGTTATTCACAAAAATTCTTAGGCTTAAATCTTCTTTGAGAGAAAAGCAGAAAATAAAAGAAAACATTTTCTAAAACGAAACATTCATTTTCCATCTTGGTAGTACTATTTAAATGTACTTTTTTGTATATTATGTTCCTTTTAGTAGAGATGTGCAACAATTTTAGCAATATAACAATATGTTTACAAATAATCATAATATTACCACTATATCTTATGATAATATACTGATACATTGTGACCTCAATAAAGACAAATGCAGGCTAAAGTCACAAATGTAATTACATGTGGTTCATTTCATTTTCAAAGGTCATTGAAATATTGTGATAAATAATGTGGTTTTCTCCATTTGGATCTCAACATTTATTTTCATATGTTTCAAAATCATGGATGTCATGCATGAACCAAAGGCTTGCTGTGTAATGGATGTGTCTATTTGTTCATGTCTAGATAAACAACTAAAAACACATTTCCAAACTCTTATTAACAGCAACAAGCAAATAATTCCTTCAGGCTACAGAGGCAAAACACAAACATAGAACTTGCTCAGTTTACCATATTTTTATCTCATAGAATTATTGCGCCTTAGTTTTATTCAGAAAGGTATAGAAACCACATAATGCAATTCTAAACCAGTGCCTGCCCTCCAGCCTGAAGACATCCTTGGGATAATGAGAAAGGCCATGCAACACATATGTGCTTGGTCTTGAGCTTGTTTCCTTCCAGAAATTCCATTTAGAGAGACTTTAGATTTGTGAGAACTGAAAACCAACATTTAGTCCACTGAGTGTGTTAAGGAAGACTCGGTGAGAAAAGATAGAGTGGAAATTTATTAGATTCCTCTTGAAGGATCTCTTTTCTCTCTCTCTCCCTCTCTCTCTCCCTCCCTCCCACTCTTTCAACTTACTCTCTTAGGTGAGGACCAGAAACTTTTTGTGTGACGCACTTTTGAAAGATTGGTGTTCTGGATCTACACGTTCTCACGCACTCTTTGGCCATAGCAATAGCGGCCACATTCCCAGATGCATTTGGGAACAATTCTCAGGAACAGTGAGAATTCTGGTTCCAGCATCCACAGATATGCAAAACCAAGTGATCAGGTAGGAGGATAAATCATGCGTTCTTGAATAACGTCATTCCATAGGGTCTATGTCAGGCCTAGACCCAACTCTGAAATGGAAAGTGCGTATTTCTCATCCTTTTTTCCTTTTCTTTCAGATCATATACTTGAGTGGAATGGCAAGAATTGCAAGGGAGAGAGACATTTTTCTCTCTGTAAGGCCCTGGCATAAAAATCATGACATATGGATAAAAAATATAGAGATCAGAAATGTAACCTGGCACGAGAAAATTCTGAAGAAAATATTAAAAAAGAATAATATCATAGCTATTATATATGAAGTCCAGGAGACATCAATGACATTGACAAAGATAAGTAAGCCAGGACACATTTTCAAGAGAATTAAAATTAGTTTACTTCAGGATTGAATCAGAAAGTCATGATTATTTTAAGCTGGGGAACATTTTAGACTTGAAACCAAATTAAGTCGACCTGAGGCTCAAGTAAACATCTTCCAATTCATTTGGAATATCAAACTAAAATAAAGAGATCATTATTGTCCCAAGAAAGAGAACAATAAAAACCTAAAGAACATCCTAAATGGATAGCCTTTATATAAGGAAAGGAAGATAATAAGCTGGTCCAGAAGTAATCTTGTTGGTTTGTGGCAGAGAATTCCAAAAACACACATATCTGAAGCATGGTCCAGAGGAGAAGGTGCAACCTCCAGATGAATATGTCCACTTAATGCCTGTAGATGCCTTGCCCCTGGCAATATAGACAAAATAAGAGCCACTGCAAGTGTTCTAGAGCACATGGCCCAGATCAGACTGTTACTTGAGTCTATAAGTGATATTGAAAAGATTCTGAGTATAGTTAAATACAGGTTATTAATATATAAAATTGGGTGCAGTTATATCAGAATGTTTCCATTTTATCATTTTTTTTTTTTGTTTAATCTGTGCCACTTCCTAGGCATTGATCAAAATATCAGCAAGGTAGGGGCCGGCCCCATGGCCGAGTAGTTAAGTTCGTGCACTCGGCTTCAGCAGCCCAGGGTTTTGCTGGTTCAGATCCTGGGTGTGAGCACTGCCATCAGTTCATCAGGTTCATGCTGAGGCACAACCCACATAGCATAACTGGAAGGACCAACAACTAGAATATACAACTATGTACTAGAGGGCTTTGGGGAGAAGAAGAAGGAAGACAAAAAAAGATTTGCAACAGATGTTAGCTCAGGTGTCAATCTAAAATGATATCAGAGAGGTATAATATAACTTGTTTTCTCAAACGTGTGAGCTCTATGAGTCTCTATATTAAGATAGTCATTTACTTTTTAATAATTACTCTGCCCCAAATATTATACTAGATTCTAGACTACAGAAATATACCATAATTATTTCCCTCACGGAACTTTCAGCCTTGCGGGAGGGACAGGAGAGAAAACCGTTGATGAGTGCACTGAAAAGGTTCGCTTTAAAGACTAGTCAGCAAAAAGGCACCATTTGTAATCTAATGGCCGAGTAAGGAAAGCTTCCTCTTGGGGAGTTCTGTTTTAGCTTAAAATAGACATTAGCCAAGTGGACTCTGGGAGAAAAAAAGAGAAAAGAAGACTATTTTAAGCACAATGGCCAGCATATGAAGATAGAAAACATAGAATTGCTAAATCTAAAGTTAATACGTTTCATATGGAAGATTACTTTGTTATATGAAATAAACGGTTCTTTTTATGCTCAGCTTTAATTATTTGATATGTGGCATCACCTACCTGAAAGCTTTGAATTTCTTAGAGAAGCCTGGTTACCACATCCCTTGTGTGTGTGTGTGTGTGTGTGTGTGTGTGTGTGTGTGTGTTAGAATGTTTAATTTATTAGAGATCTGAGAGAACCATTTCACAACTGATGGGAAAAACAAGGCGCAACACTGAAGGATAACTATAATGAAGCTTTCAGATGGAAACAGGAGTAAGTAATTTTGATTAGGCTTTCTTGGGTTGGTGAGGACCAAAGGGGTAAGAGTAGATTCACTGCTCCACTCCATTATATGCTCTGGAATTTCTTCATTTCCAGCAGTATTTCACATCTTACTGCCAGAATTCCAGAAATGGAATCTAACAGGGAAATAAAATCCATTGAAAGTAAATAGTTCTTATAGTTTGTCTTTTCTGAGAGTTAAATACTAGTTATGGATACATTAAGCAAAGAATAAGGCTTATTTTGCAATCCATAGAATTCCTGATAAATTATTATAAGAAGAAATATTGAATAAAAATTTAGTGTGTGACAGAAGATTCTTTTCCGCATATAATACAATTTTGAAGACGTACTACCAATGCTAAATAAGGGTCAATTATTTTATAGTAAGATTTTGATAATGTATTGCCAATTTGGTAATGTATTCTAAATATGTTCTCCAAGTAAAACATGCCTGGCAAATCTTTAATTTTTATTTTTTTATTGAGATATAATTCACATACAACATTATATTAGTTTCTGGTATACAGTATAATTGTTTGATATTTGTATGTATTGCAAATGATCACAATAATTCTAATTAACATTTGTCACCATATTTGGTTACAATTTTCTTTTCTTTTGATTAGAACTTCTAAGATTTACTCTTAGCAACTTTCAAATACGCAATACAATGCTATTAATTATAGTTACCATACTGTACATTACATTGCCATGGCTTATTTATTTTATAACTGAAAGTTTGTGTCTTTTCACCCCCTTTACGCATTTAGCCCACCACCTATAACCCACATCCGGCAACCAACAATCTGTTCTTTGTATCTATGATTTCCTTTTTTGTTTGTTTGGTTTTAGATTTTGTAGATAAGTGAGCACAATGCCCTCAACATCCATCCATGTTGTCACAAATGGCAAAATTTCCTTCTTTTTTGTGGCTGAATATTGTTCCATGATATGTGTGTGTGTGTGCGTGCATGTGTGTATCTCACATTTCTTTATCAGTTATCCACCAATAGACACTTAGGTTGGTTCTGTGTCTTGGCTATGTAAATGATGCTGCAATGAACAAGGAAGTGCATATATCTTTTTGCGTTAGTGTTTTTGTTTTCTTCAGATAAATACCCAGAATTAGACTTGCTGGATCATATGGTAGTTCTGTTTTTAATTTTTTGAGGAAACTACATACTGTTTTCCATAGTGGCTGCACCAATTTACATTCCCACAAGCAGTACACAAGGGTTCCCTTTTCCACATTCTTGCTGCTTGTTATTTCTTATCTTTTGATAACAGCCGTTCTAACAGGTGTGAGGTGATACCTCATTGTGGTTTTGATTTACATTTCGCTGATGATTAATGATGTTGAGCACCTTTACACATACTTTTTGGCCATCTGTTTGTCTTCTTTGAAAAAAAGGTCTGTCTTGATCCTCTGCCCACTTTTTAGTTGGATTGTTTGATTTTTGCTATTGAGTTGTATGAGTTTTTTATATATTTTGGATATTAACCCCTTATCCAATACATCATTTTCCAATATTTTCTCCCTTTTGGTAGGCTGCCTTTGTTGATGGTTTCCTATGCTGTACAAAAGCTTTTTAGTTTGATGCAGGCTCACTTGTTTACTTTTACTTTTGGTACCTGTAGCCGCCCCTGACGCAGGAAGGGTTAATAATCACTGGAAAAGGCTTGCCAACAAACTGTGACCTGGAGGTGAGAAGGCCGGTTAGCCAATGATGGGTAAGACCTCCAGGGGGAGGCAACCTAAGCCAGGCATCGGTAGCCCGGGGGCACAGATGGAGACAAGATATCGATATCAGGAGCAGGAGGAGCTGTTGGCTAGGAGGACTTGTCTGCTCCGAGATAAAAATATACCAGCACAGCAAAAACATGATAATATCAAAACAGAGGCTGAGGGAGGGCTCCCTGAGAAATCACCAAGAATTCTTGGCATTCGCTAATTACTTCATCCAGAACACCTGTGTATGTTTAACAGCTTTAAGCTATGTATATATTGAAATGCTGGTTATAATAAACTCAGAGTGGCCATCAGCCCTCTCCGCATCTATCCTAATGTGTACATTGGATTGCAACACCGACAGTACCTTTGCTTTTGGTGTCAAATCCAAAAAATCATCACCAACACCAATGTTAAGGAGCTTACCACTTATGTTTTCCTCTAGGAGTTCAACGGTTTCATGTCTTATTTTCAAGTCTTTAATTCATTTTGAGTTAGTTTTTGTGTATGGTGTAAGATCGTGGTCCAGCTTCACTCTTTTGCGTGTGACTCTCCAGTTTTCCTTGCATCACTTATTGAAGGGATTATCCTTTCCCCATTGTATATTCTTGGCTCCTCTGTCAGGAAATAATTATCCATATATTTGTGGGTTTATTTCTATGGTCTCTATTCTGTTCCATTGATATATGTTTGTATTTTTATGCCAATATGATACTGTTTGATTATCATAGCTTTGTAATATAGTTTGAAATAAGGGAGAATGATTCCTCCAGCTTTGTTCTTCTTTCCCAAGATTGCTTTGACTAGTCAGGGTCTTTTTTGGTTTCATACAAATTTTAGGATTATTTGTTCTATTTCTTTGAAAACCGCCACTGGTATTTTGATGGGGATTGCATTGAAGCTGTAGATTGCTTTGGATAGTGTAGACATTTTAGCAATATTAATTTTTCCAACCCATGAGCATGGAATATCTTTACATTTATTTGTGTCTTCTTCAATTTCTTTCATCAGAGTCTTATAGTTTTCAATGTATAGGTTTTTCACCTCTTTGGTTAAATTTATCCCTAGGTGTTCTATTCTTTTTGATGCAGTTGGAAATGTGATTGTTTTTTAATTTCTCATTCTGATATTTTTTGATTACTGTATAGAAATGTAACAGATTTTTGTGTATTGATTTTGTATCCTGGCATTTTACTGAATTTGTTTGTTAGAGTTTTTTGGTGGAGTCTTTAGGATTTTCTCTACATAATATCAAGCCTTCTGCAAATAGTAACAGTTTCACTTCTTCTTGTCCAATTTGGATGCTTTTTTCTTTGCCTAATTTCTCTGGCTAGGACTTCCAATACTATGTTGAATAAAAGTTGAGAGTAGGTATCCTTGTGTTGTTCCCGATCTTAGAGGAAAAGCTTTCAATATTTCACCAATGAGTATGATGTTAGCTACGGGCTTGTCAGATATGGCTTTTATTATGTTGAGGTGTATTCCCTCCATAGTCACTTAGCTGAAAGTTTTTGTCATAAGCGAATGTTGAATTTTGTCAGATTCTATTTCTACATCTATTGAGATGATCATGTGATTTTTATAATTCATTTTGTTAATGTGATGTATCACGTTGATTGATTTGTGTATATCGAATCATCCTTGCATCCCTGGAGTTAGTCCTACCTGAGCATGGTGTATGATATTTTAATGTATTGTTGAATTCATTTTCCTAATATTTGCTGGAGATTTTTGCATCTATGTTCATCAGGGATACTGGCCTGTAATATTTTTCTTATGGCATTCTTGTCTGGTTTTGGTATGAGGTTAATGCTGGACCTGGTAAGTCTTTAAATAATTGATGCTTATGTAAATTCCATAAAAGA